GGGTTAGGGGGTTTAGAGGTTTAGGGTTTGGGGGTTGGGGGTTTGGGGGTTTAGGGGTTTAGGGGTTAGGGGTTTAGGTTCCGGTAAGACTTCCTTTACAGGTAGTACATTGTTAGTGTAGGGCTTAGGGCATGTAGGGCTTGGGGTTGACTGGGGATTTCGAAATGCAAGTTGGTTTACGACTGGGGCTCATGGCTTTCTTTTTGTATGGTTTCTAGGGCTTTCGGATTTAGGATCTTTCTCTTGGGTTTAGGGCTTTAGGCTTTATAGGGTCTTTCCCGGTAGAGTTGCGGCAGACCGGGTGCAAAAAGGGTTTAGGGTGCGTGTGCTGGTGGTGCTGCGGATATAGAAGGAGGAGAAAGGATTTAGGAGTTCGCGATTTGAGGCCCCGGTTGCAAAGCAACGATCCCTCAAAAAGGAGCCCTCTTCGTTGCACGTTCCGAAGTTTGCCGAGAAAGCTGAATCGTAGTGACATTAAGGAGTTCGAGAGGCAAGGATCCCTTCTCAACTCAGAAGTAGACTTAAGTAGAGTGCTTCTTCACCACGGGGTTGAGGGGCTTCTGATTGCTTGGATTGCAGCCGGGCTGTTCAGGGCTAGCACTGTCGGGCTACAGGATACTACCCCCAATGGTGGGCCTTGCTTTCCTTCACGTTCTCTAGTACCATGAAGGCCCGAAGCATTAAGCCCTGTAGCCCTGTTTGGGCTGTTCAGGCCCGCCGTCTTATTTCCCAATTTCGCAGCCTCGGGGGCCCAGATCCTTGTGGCCGCACGCGCGACCCTATCCACGGCACATGTTCCAGGAAGGGGCGGAATGGGTGCAGACGAATGATGGAGAAGAAGCTGGTGTTGTGAAACTAGTAGTCGTAACTGAAACACCATTCGAGTTAAAAACAAACAATGGCAAGAATGCGAGAAACGGGGAACAAGTGGTCTCAGTCACGACGCAAGATGGCACATTGATCACCAGATTTCTGCCAGAGAAGGTGAGTGCAGTGCCAAGGTTGCAGGGGCAAAGCTGTGATTGATGATGGTGCCATTTTACAGCACAAACAGGAGCAACAGGAGGAAGAAGGTTTGGGCCCCTTGCTGTAGCTAACCTACACCCAAAACCTTAGAACTTAGATTCATTATTTCTTCA